CAACTCTGAGGTCCCTTTCACTATTTACATTCTATGTTCTCAATTTATTTTCGTGTCTGCCATTGGAGATTCTAAGATACCTGCTACTTATACTTTGTTTTAAAGTGACCTTCTTTTATGTTCTTAAAATGATTTATTCTTATGTTTTCAAGTGTAGCTTAGCTCAGAGTCCTCTTTTCTGCGTTACATGGGCTTTTACTGCTCTCAAATTCTTTCAGGCCTCACATTCTATGTGTTGAAGTTCTTTGTAGAATTTCCACTGTATGCTCTGTGGTCACTTGTAGCACTGGTGTCCTCTGGTCTATATTCTTAAGTTGTTTCCAGGTCTGACATCCTCAGGGGGTGGAGAACCTGTGGCTTTGAGGCCATGTGTGGCCTGTAGGACCTTAGGTGTGGTCTTTTGACTGAGTCCAAATTTTACAGAACAAATCCTTTTATTAAGGGGATTTGTTCTGTGAGCTTTGGATTCTGTCAAAGGGCTGCACTTGAGGACCTAAAGGGCTATGGGTGGCCTGAAGGCCACAGGTTACCGCCTCCCCCCCACCTCCCAGTCCATGTTCTAATAGCTCTTCTAGCTATGACATTCAATGTTGAAAGTTCTTAGGTGGTTCCTAGCTCTGACTTTCTCTGCCCTCTGTTCTAAAGTCCCTTCTAGCTTTGACATAGTTTTCTATGTTCTGTGATAACATCTAATTCTGAACTTTATCTTGTGTCTTAAAATCACTTCCAGAAATGATGTTCTATGTTTTCTGTTCTACAGTTCTTCTTTGCTCTGAAATTGTTTCGTTTTAAGATCCCTTTGGGTTCTAGCATCTTATGGACCACGCTGTTTGTTCTAAGTCCCCTCCTAACCCTGACACCTTCTATTCTCTATTCTAAGGGTCCTTTTCGTTGTCAAGTTCCTTCCAGGACTGAAATACCATATTCTAAGGTCTCATTTTAAGTTCTATGTTCTAAGGTTCCTTCAAGCTCTGAAGTTCTTTCCAGTTGTTAACTTCTTTGTTTTAAGGTGGTTCCAACTCTGACATCCTCTGTTTTCTTTTAAGATCTTTTCAAGTTCTGATGATTCTATGTTTTATAGTCCTTTGTAGCTGTGGTATTGTCTCTTCTCTGTTCTCAGGGTCCTTCTAGCTCTGAGGTCTTTTTTGGTTCTGACAATGTCAGTCCTACTTTCCAGGCACCTTACAGCTTTGGCATTTTTATAGCCTAAGTTCTAAGATGTCTCCCAGCACTGAGATCTCTTCCAATTCTGTTATTCTCTGTTCTAAAGTCAATTCCAGGCCAGTCATTCTCTGTTCTATGTCCTAATGTCCCTCACAGCTCTGATAGTCTCTCTTTTGCATTCTAAAGTCCCTGTCAGCACTGACATTTTAAATTCTATGTTCTAAGCAAATTTCCAGCTCTCATACTCTGAGATCCTTTCTATTTATGCCATTCTATGTTCTAAGGTCCCTTCCAGCTCGAACTTCTATGTGCTCCTTCATTTTGTGTCCTAAAGTCCTATCCTGTACTTTACTCTTTATTTACTCTCCCTGATGTCCTCTAGCTCTGATATTCCCTCTCCTAAGGTCCTTCCCAGCTCTGACATTCCCTGCCTGAAGGCCCCCTTCCTTCAAATTCTGACATTTCATATTCCATGGTTGGTTTTTTTTGGAGGGGGGGAGGCAATTGGGGTTAAATGACTTGCCCAGGGTCACACAGTAGTAAGTGTCTGGGGTTGAATTTGAACTCGGGTCCTCTTGACTCCAGGGCTGGTGCTGCATCCACTGTGCAACCTACCTGTCCATTGTGTACCGTGGTGTGTCACAGCTTTCACATTCTCTTTCCTCTATCCTACTGTACCTTTCAGGGCTGGCCTTCTTTTGGAGGTCCCTTCCAGGGCTAACATGGTATATTCTGAGGACCCTCCCAGCCTTGATAGTCTTTGTTTTAGGGCTGAGAGGGCTCAACTCTGATATTTTGTCTCTTGTGCCCTGTCCAGGCTGACATTTTCTGTGCCATGGTTAAAGCACTATTCCAGCTCTGACATTCTCTATTTTAAGATCTCTTAAAGTGCCGGGATACCTCTCAGCTTTGACATTTTATGTTCTGAGGTCCCTTCCAGCTCTGACTTTGTGTGTTAGAGCCCCTCTTGCATCTGCCATTCTAAGTTCTAAGGTCTTTCCCGTATCTGATCTTGCACATTCTATGTTCTGTCCTCATTTCTAAGGGCCCTTCTAATTCATAGAACCTTTGGAGGTCAGATAATCCATCCATAGTCAGCGATTCCACCCAGAATTCCCCAAATACTCTTCTCCTCCAATTTGTACTACAGAAGCTTATGTTTGCTTGGCCACTGCCTTGAAAATGAGTTTTGCACGTGTGGTACATGCTAGGTAAGCTTCTTGAAGGCAGCAATTGTACCTTTAACTTCTCTGATAGCCCCCAGTGACACTCTCCACGGTCCCTAGTGCCTGTTAATGATGGAGTTCATTACTGCCAGGGAAAACATGGCGGTGAGAACAGCAGGCCTACTTTGGTAGACACATTTCCTTGGGGTTAGGTTACAAGTCCTCATCTCATGGTAATTAAAGAGACAGCTGAATGCCCTTCTCAAATTGCCTGTGGCTGACTTCAGTCCTAAAAGAAGACAAGTCATTCAAAATGGTTTGCATTGAATGATTATTGTTTCTCAAACAGTTGCCTATGTTAACCAGAGAGCCTTTTAGTGTTAGATCTTAGGACTTTTCAGCAATCTGAAATTGATAATAACAGAATAGTATTTTATAATGACAGAATAATAATTAATAGAAACAAATAGATCGAATACATTTTTAAGAGAGTGTAATTGCAGGGGCAAGTTCTCCCTCTTGATGACCTCTCTGGATTCCGGGACTACACTTTCTGTCTTTCCCCTTTGACAGTTGGCTGCTTTAGCTCACAAAATCCTAAGGTTTATATGTGGTGTTCACAAGGGATTTCTTTTAATTTTACCTGATTTCCCGGAAAATGCTCAAAGTCCTTATTTTGGTTCAAAAATCAAAACTCAAAGAGTACTAAGTGGTTTGGACTAGTGTTACTCTTCTCCACTCTGCACCCCCTCCTTTTCCCTCCTTCCACCCAGAGCTTTTAAGCACCAGGCTACCTGTCATTCAGAATCTCTTCTTTCTGTAGGTTTTGAATCTCCTTGTGCTGACCAAATGGTATGTTCTTATCACTTAGATCCCTTTTTTCTTCCTTTAAAAAGGGGATAGCATGCTACATTCTTTCCAGTGTCCTAGGTTCCTATTTCTTGATCTGAAATTCCTCTTCCCCTAAATCCTCAGTCACCCTATTCCATGCATCTTCTGTCTGCTCCCTCTTTCCCCCTCCCTTTACCCGAATAGCAACCTTTTCCATTGCGCTGGCATCTGCTAGCCATGCCAGTAGCTTTGGGGAAACTCCATACCTGTCTATTTTTAAGGAAATGTGCTTGAAGACAAAATGGTATTGGATCTCATCCTGGACCTTGGATGGTGTCCCGATTTTCATAAAAGGGCAAACGGTGGGTATGCAGCCCGGCCAGACTGGGCCCCTTCCCCCAGAGGGGAATGTAGACAAGAGTGACTGATGAGTCTATAAGTGTAGCCCCCTGACACCAAAGGAATTCTAGCAACTCAACTCAATGTCCTTTTCTAGCCTAGGCATGATTGGTGTATTCAAAGGTCCCTGGGGTCTGCTTATCTTAGGGTGGTGAATTTTTAAAAGGCTCCAGTTCACTTTGCCCTCCTGTGTGTGAAATAATGTTAGCCTTTGACCATTCAGAATTAGCTTGTAGTCCTGGGCAGGGCTGGTTTCCTGGGGTGCAGTTAAGTAACTGTAGCTTCCTACCCCAGGACCAGAACAAGATTGTGACCTAGGGTGGTGATGAGGTGAGGTACCATGACGCCTTGTATCATTCTGCACAGGGCTGTTCTGCTAGAACTGTGAATGCAAATAAACACTGTAGTTAGACTAGAGGAGTGTGTTGGCTTGGCTTCTATTACTTGAGATCCCAAATTGGATTGATATAAATGGAATCTATAAACCAGGGGTTAATAAGTATGACTTTAATTCCTAACAAAATCTTAAAATGATCTAAAAGGATGGCTAGTAAACATTTATAAAGGGAAGCAGTGATTATAGAGAGTATGGCATTATCAGAAACAGGAGGTACCAGATTAACCTCATTTCTTTTTTTTTTTTCCCAGGGTTATTACACTGGTAAATCAGGGAAATGTGGAAGACTGTCTAATGATTTGTAACAGTGTGAAGGGAAGTAAGCTAGATAACTGTACAGTCTGAAGAGCTCAGAACTGGTTGAATGACTAGGTTCAAAGAGTGGCTGTTAATGGAGTTGACGTCAGCCTGGAACAAGGTCTCTAGTAGAGTGCCCTAGGGATCTTTTCCCAAGTGACAGTATGATTCTATGTGTAACTTTGGGCAAATCACTCAATCTCGCTAGGCCTTAATATCGTGCCCTCTCATTTTGCCAATAGAAATAAATGGCATACAAACAACCCCTCTTCCTTTCCACCCCTCTACTCCCTCCCCAATTTGACATTGCCTCTCTGAGTTTTCAGGCTGGGTGCGGGACCTTCTCACTACTGTTTTAACTTCTGATGCCTCCAAAGCCATATTGTGTTGCTAATTTATCTCATCAGTGATTTTCATAATGCCTCCTTTTACCCCAAGAAAACATAATGTGTTGTTGATTGGCATGGGAACCAGTTATCCAGATTGTTACTTTACCAGTTGCTTCTCTAGATTTTCCAGAACTGGAGGTAGTTATGTTTTTCATCACTTTAAGGACTGTATCTCACAAAATCTCAGATAACAATCAGAGGTTAATTTGTCCTATAGAAGTAAATCTAGAGAGACATTGTTCATGTTGTTTCCTGAAAATTATGGAAAAGCCTTGTGTATGTATGCACGCGCACATGTGCAGACGTAATGCTGTGTTCAGATACCTGCTGCTAGTGAAAAGATACATTGTGGCCAGCTGATTCCAACGGTTACCCACATTTAATCATCATAAATCAAGGAAACAGAGAAACCTGAAATAGGTTTTCAGAACAGGCATGCATACTACAGAACTAATAGTTTAAAAATATCACTGAACATCCTCTATAGAGTAATCAGATTTAGAATCATGTGGAAGCAAAATAATGAAATCACAACTTGTCACTTGAAACATATGCGGCTCACTTCATGCAAATATTATTTTAGTTACACATTGCATTAACGAACATACCCAGCATAAACAGAAAGTCTGTAACATGTAGAAAACAGAGTAGAGTTTGTCAATTTCTGCTTGGAAATACATACAGTTAGAATGGAGGCCAAAGTCACTGTTCTTAATGGAACGACTATATCTATGAAACACGTACATGTGGGAACTTAACTGAGGGAGTAAGCTCTTACCCCCACACTGACAACTAAGCTTCCACACACTACATTTGTGAATAAAGCATTGAATGAATGACTATAGATAATGGATATCTAGAATAAAGCAATGGCTTACATTTGATCAAGAGAAGAGGATTAAGGAGACAACCAAAATCCATCGGCTAGTAGGTGACTGCACAAGCTTATCGCACAATTATGAACACAATTAAAAGCACCAGACCAATCTGGAATTCTGCTGTACTGTTCACTGTTGGTACATCGCTTCTGTTCACTCAGCCTGGTGCATAGTTGTAAGTGCCATCTGCAAAATGCCCAAGTTGAGCTGGAGTCAGGATTGACCCCCACTAGGGCAACTGTGAGTGGGGAGGGCAAAATCTGATGAATTTCAAGGAGTAGTCATTCAAACAGGGCCATTCTACCTATTGCAAACCTGCAATTACTGAGAATTTGTGGAGTCTTGTACTTGGTGTTCTACTCATGCCCTGGTCTCTCTGCTTGAAGATCCCAGTCTCCCAAGTGGGCTGTTAGAAGGATCAAGAATTGGTATCCTCTGACAGAAGCCTTCTAAACCTCAGCAGAATAGTCTGTTTCATAGCTACATTCCTGGTGATTTTCCTGGAATTGCTACCCTGTGACTAAGAAACTTGAATCATCTGGTACTTCATCTGTGAATAGTGCTGTGAATATTTCTTCTTTTTTATTGGTGACATTCTCAGTCAAATGTGTATTTAAATGGAAACTCCATCGACGCTGAAAGAAACAGGAAGAAAATCCTATCAGTGTACAAATCTGACAACAGGTCAAGAGATCTTAATAATAATAATAAAAAAAAAGAAATCCAAATGTGACTTTGTTAGCAAATTAAAAAAAAAAAAACCCAAAACCTGTGTTCAAAACACTTCCAAAAAGGTCTTTCAAAAGTTGCAAGACTTGTGAAAGAAGTAAGTTCCATGGGTTGCTGAAAATCAATCCAGGAGAGTTGACAGCTATCTCTCCCTTTGTTTAGCTGACTCCCAGTTGTTTTTTTTTTCTTCTAAAGATGTGCTTGCTTAATAAAACAAAATGCTGTTGTCATGAGTTCTTGATCAATCTTGCAGTAGTTGTGCACGATATTGACAATCTCTCCAGTCTTCATTCATTTTCCACCACCACTGCCCTCAGTTGCTGCTCCCCAATTAGCCCCTAAAAACTTCTAACTATATTACAATGGGGGTACTCTGCCCTTTCCCCAAGGCAAATTCCTCATTCATTCATTGTAAGTGATTTCTTCCTTCAACTTAAGTTTAGAATTTCCAAACTGTAATCAAGTCTCTAATTTTCTGTATTTGAAATTCTGAAATATGAGTACAGAAATACAAGTCAGCTAGATCGAGTCTATCCGTGTGACATCATAAAATCTACTCCAAGACAATGGGAATTTCTTCTCAAGGAAAAAAATCAGAACTGGCTAGCTAAAGTTGGTACCATATTATAAAAGAAGGTTCTTCATGTGTTTTCTTTTTGTCCTCCAATATTCCAGAACTGTAAACAAAAATATTTAAATACCAAAAAAAGAAAAAAAATGAAAAAAAACTGTGCTGTTTTCCTCCATCCACTTTTAAGCACTCTTTGTGTAGAATCTTAAATGTTTAGTACAAAACCTAGGCCTTTTGGGATGCTGACTTAGTGGCTCTGAAGAATTCAGATCATCTTTACCAAATATCGCTGGTGAAGCTAAGCTCCTTGGATGACAAAGGCAGCAGAGGGCTGTTTCTGTGAAATTCGGGAGCATTCTTTGCGGCATTATTTAGAGGTAGTTGTCCATTAAGCAGTGTCAAGGGTATGTTGCAGTATGCGTGGTGGTGGGACCCTAGAGAAGCCATCGGCAAAGAGGAGGTTGGCATCTCATAATTGTAACTTCTGCAACAGTGTCTCATTGGCATGGAATCTGTTTGGTGGAAATCGCTCAGATCGGCCTGAGAGGCTACCAAAGCAGCAGAGGTGCTGGTGACGGCAATCGATGGTGCGGTCTGCAACTCTCCAAAAAGGCCTTGCTCTGCTGAGTCCAGAACTTGGCGGCGGGACAGTGTCACTTTTTTCTTGATGGGCATCTCATACACCAAGTGCTTCCAAAACTTTGAATTCAGTTTGCTACTTTGGGTGCCTTTCCACTTGACCAGCGACAGAAGCTTGATATTTCTCTTCAGCAGTTCCACTTCACGGCAGTTCACTTTGTCTTTTAATTCTGTGCACTCGATCCAGATAACTTTGATTTCTCCACTGACCAGCATGCTATGGAGCCTGGTCTCCAGCTCAAAAATACTCCATCCTCTTCTGAGAACATAGTCTGGAGTGAGCACGATAATAAGTCTTCTACTTTGTTCAACACATCTTGTGAGATCTTCAACGTAGGCTGAAAATCACAGAAAGAAAGAGAGAGAGTAAAATAGAGAAGTCTATAGTGTTAAAACATTAGGTCTGTGCTGTGGTTTAGGAAATATTTTGTTTTTTACTAAACCATAGGGGTTTTTCTGGCATGTGGTACATTCAGAAAACCCATTGCCTTCATTAAAAAAAAAAAAGGCCATCTTTCCCAGTCCCATTTTTCACCCAGCGTCAATATCACAGTGTTCTACAGACTAATATAAACTAACTTCTTTGGAGCTTGGGTTGTATTTCAGTGATCTGTGTTTATTTTAGCATTTACTCCAAAGCAGGGCTAACACTTTGTAAGGGGACAACCAAACAGCTGATTGATGCAAAGAGACAGAGAACATAAACCAATACGGGGTGTGGTATTCATGGGTTTGGTCTGGGTATTTTTTTCTCCTGGGTCCCAATCGTAATTTGTCAGTTTCCAGATATGATCTATTTGTCGCATAGTGGTACAGCAGAGGCATTGTGGATTGCACTGTCTCCCCAATTGGTGTCCAGAGTACCTTCTGCCGTTTGCAATTTGGCTTTTCTCCATTTGTGTCCTTGATAAGGAGGCAGGACTGGGCTACTTGTTCAATCTGCTGGCTGGCTTTGTTTGGAGATGGGAAAAGGGGCGGGGGAGCAGTCTAGCCTAAGAAATGTTGCATGGCTTTGGAGTTTAGGTGAAACACATCCTGGCTAACTATTCATTCTTCTTCCCATGGAGCAAGCACAGGGCAGCTCCAAAAGGAAACCCATACATGTTAACAAATTAAGACATGGACACAGGTGCTTCATAGAAAAATGTCTGTACTCAGCAGAGCATAGGGCCTTGTCTAATGCATGCTGCCCTTGAGCAGAAGGAAGCAGTATTTACAGAGTCATGTCAACATTTGGCCCTGCAGATCTGGGGACCAGTGGTCCCCTCCAGCAGGTATACCACGTAGGCTCACAGCCTTAGAGGGAGCAGGATCCTAAAAAAAAAATCCAGTGTCTCACAAAGATGTACTTTTTATGGAAAATCTCCCTTTTCCAGGTCTTTGCTTCATCACTTGGTAGCAAGGAAATGGATTTGCAAAGGGAAACAAAGCAATCCTTTTACATACCCTACAGACAAAAATGCGTCAAACATTGAATAGGGGCTCCTTCAGCAATGTGGTTTTAATGGTATCAAGTTCATGGTCTCCCCCTGCCCCCCATGCACTGGTTACAATGACTATACACATTTAACACAGGATTATAGACGAAGAGCTGGAAGGGACATTAGAGGCCATTTGGTCTAATTTAGTCATTTAGTTATTTTACTGATGAGGAAACTGAGGCCCAGAGAGAAGTGACTTGCCCAGAGTCATAGATGGGATCAAGGGACCTCTAAGGACATCTAATCATAGAATTATGGATTTAGAGATGGAAGTGACCTTTCAGGTCATCTAGTCCAATTCACTCATTTTACAGTTGAGGAAACTGAGGGTCTGCGAAGTTATATGACTTGGCCAAGGTTATCCAGGTAATGAGTACCAGAGCCAGGACTGGAGCCTGGGGATTCTGACTCTAAATCTGAGCTCTTTCCATAACACCACAAAAGAAGAGGTTGAGGGGGGAGAGACCATCGGGATTTTTAATTGCTTTATCACAAGAGATTACATAGGAAAAAAATCAGCATTTCAATTAGTACAGAGGGGCTCCATTGGGAGAAGAAATAGGGAAGTTATCACTTGGGCTTGGGACACAATGGAAAGAAAGGTAGCAAGACTCAATACAGTAGAAACACATTATTTCAATGTATCAACAGCTCTGATTTTTCATTTTCTTCCTTTCTTGCTGCTCCCCAAAAGAAAGAAGTTATATGGGAAACGTCATCATTAGAGGGTAGATCTGTAAGATATAGTAAAATGGGCCATCGTGCATCTTTGCTGTTATTCTTCCCCCCCCTCTCAAAACAAGTAACCGAATTAAAAAAAAAATCTCAGAATCTTGGTATGAGGTCAGGTGCATCTGACTTTGGGCAAACTTATTTGTGATGTTCCAGATTAATTTTCAAAGGGTGTAATTCTTTATTTTGTATCATCATTTTTTACTTCACCCAATAATCAAGAAGTGACTTCAACAGTGACTCCTTCCACACATTTAAAACAATTTGATTTAGTTAGAAATGTTCAGTTCATTTGACCTTTTTTAAGCATGTGTAAAGTGAGATACACCTACCCTTCCCATGCAATGGGATATAGTTTAAATTAACCTTTTAAGTATACTTCAATATGATAGCTGAAGTCTTGCTAGTTCATATTGGAAAAATTATATATATGTATATGTGTATACATGTATATGTATATCTATACACACACATGTATACATCTATAGTCCTTTTTATTTAAAAAAAAAAGAAACCAATATAACTCAGGCATCCATAGTTGTGAATAAATAGCACATATACATAAAAGCAACTTAATGAATGAACTATGAACTCACCAGGTATGGCTTTGGCATCCCCTTAGTGAAGGAAGGAAAGGGCCAACTTTGCCTTCATAAGTGAGATTCTCCCTCTGCTTGGACCTTTATGATCCAGCCATTGGATAATGGGAAGATGACAACATTTAGGACTCTTGGGTAGTGGAGGCTCTTGGGTGAGGCTTAGTTTATTTGGGCTGACTTCTGTCTTTCCTAGAGCTTGGCTGAAACCATGTGCTCAACTGGCTTTAACTGGCAGTCATTCCTTCCATGTCCCAATATGGGCAAACAGACTGGTCCATAAGCAGAAATCCGATGATCTAATTAATTGTATGTATCCTTTCTGCTGATCTCTTGAGGGTTCTCTGTACTTCCTTTTGGCTCTCTGGCCTCCAACAACCCCTTTCCACCTATCTTTGGTTAATTGGATTACAAATATTGGTTGGCTTTTGTGCTGAGTGAATTTTGTTCTTTAAGGACCCATATGAGGACCCTAATTCTGATTTTGTGGGGCCTCATAGGGACACTGAGGTCACTTGCATTTCTGTGGGATGCAGTGGTGAGGAGCTTACTGTTTTTTCCACTTTTCCCGAGAGCATGAAACCCATTCTGGAATGCCCATCATAGCTCTTTTTGATAGGCACCAACCTTCCCTTGCCTCCCTTCTCTTCTCCATCCTTATCTACTTCCCCTCCTCTCCAACTGTTTCCAGGTCTGCACCTTCCTCTCCTTCTCTTTGTACTTTTCTTCTTCCTTCTCCTCTTCTCTCCAGCTTGATCTAGTCTCTCTCCTTTTCTTCCCTCCTCTCTAGCTTGATCTGCCTTCTTCCCTTCCCCCTCTCCTTGGTTGTGGGAATTCTTGGAAGTAGATTGAAGTAGTACAGCCTGGCTTAGATTCCAAGTTTTGCTGCTGGCCACCTATGTGACTTTAGATAAGACACTTAATCTCTTCAATCCTCAGTTTCCTCATCTGTAAAATCAGAGGACCCGGCTAGGCTAAGCTGCTCCTTTTGATTCTAGATCCTATGGAAAAGCCCAATGTCTTCTCCTCCCCCTCAACCTCAAGCTCTAGAAATTCAGATATCTTGTTCTGGTCAACCAGCGATAGATTCACTAAACATTGGATGGAAGGGCTGGTTGCTCCTACTATACCTTTTCCTATGGTTCCCTTGGTACTTTCCAATTCAATCTTACTTGGTTAGCCAATAGACATATTTCTCTTTACACTTGCATAAGGAACCTTGTCTTCTGTCTTTTGGGCCATTCAAAATGTGTCTTCTGATTTTAATTTGACATTACAGATCCATTTTCCATTCTCAGGGTTTCACGAACAATTTCCGCTTATGAAATATGAGTTTCTGGAGAGAATTGAATCTTGTCCACCCATCTACTCCTGTGGTAAGGCTACCACATGAGTAGGATGGTGGATATAATGGTCTTATTTCCCATGAGGAGGCATTGCAAGTCTTTCCGTTCCTCCACCCAGTATGTTAAACATTTGTGGCCTTACGTGCCCCTCTTGCCTCATGCTTTTTAGGTTCCACAAAAAGGTCTGCATTATACCCTGAGGACAACTTCCTTGAACAGTGCCCAATCTGTCATGGTCATAGAGACAATGCCTTGAAGGTCCATGTACACAAACGATCTTTGCATGCTTCACTTCAGCAGGGACTCCAGATTGTCTGACACCAGACGTGAATCAATAGAAAGACAATTAGATGGTCTATGCCAAATATGTCAATGTAATTTCAACAGACATGGTTGCTAAACTCTTTCCGAGACATTCTTTTTAATATTTCCCTGCCCTCATTCACCTGAGGTACATCTATTGGACTGTGCCTTTTGTGTGTATGTGTGTGTGTGTGTGTGTGTGTGTGTGTGTTATTGTTGCTAATTTCATGGTTGCAGGGAATTCCCTGTGTGGAAACTCCAATCAGTACAGCTCTGCATCTTATAGGTTTAGAGGATTGCCTGAAGGAGTACTAAGAGGTTAAGTGAATTGCCCAGGAATACAGAAACAGTACGCTGTGGAGTATGGGGCAGCTAGGTTGCTCAGTTCATAGAGCACTAGGCCTAGAGTCAAATCTAATCTGGCTCAGACACTTACTAGCTGTGTGAACCTGGGCAAGTCACTTAACTCTGTTTGCCTCAGTTTCTTCATCTGTAAAATGAGCTGGAGAAGAAAATAACAAACCACTCCAGTATTTTTGCCAAGAAAACCCCAAACGGGGTCACGAAGAGTTAGACACAACTGAAACGAATGAACAATGACATGCATCAGAGACTTGAATTCTGGTCTTTCTGACTCTGAGACTAGCTGTTTATCCACTACGCCAGGCTGTCTTTCACATTATTTACTCACATGTTAAATCTCACATTTCCATGAGGGCACTTGGCTCGTAAGCATTCCCTCCCCAATCTTTTGCAGATGGAAAAACTGAAGTTAATAGCTATGAAGGGTTAGCTCCTAAGATCTCCAACTAACATCTTGGCTTAAGCCAAAAGCAGCCATATTTAAGCAGTCATGGTGATAGTGGGCTCACTTTCAATC